CTGCTCCATGTGAACCAGAACGCCCTTTGCCACGCCCTTTTCCACGCCCTTTTCCTCCACCTCGCCCTCGACCACGAGCCTTCTTGCCCTGTCTCTCCTCCTCCTCTTCTTGAAGTTCCTCCCGAAGATTCTTGTCAGGATCTTCTGCTTCGCGGAGCATTTGACGCAGGGCCCCTTGCGCCTCCACGAGGCAAAGGCTGAGGACTGTGGGGATTATCCTTGTTGACTACTACTATACTATATTTGGCATACCAGCCTATCAATCCTATCAAAGGGGTATATGATATTTGCACAGCAACATATTATATTGCGACCTACTGCTCCGACAACAGTTGTGCATGTACTTCTTTTGGAGAGGTTAATGGACATGATGTTGCTTTGCTGTATCACAACTTTAAGACAATGAACTTTTGCACAAAGTAGATTAAGTCTGCCATGTGTTACAGCTGTGAATCATATATGATATATTACCACCATCATGACCACTAGCAAAGGAATCTTGAATAGCAATATTGTGCATACACAAACATCAATAGCCGCGGCTTTCATTCCACACCATGACTGAAAAAGACCCGGAATCGGACATCTATCACGCCTTGACCATTTGGGCCATGTGCTCTTCTGTCGTTGCACCACCCTCAACACCAAATTCCTGGAGCACCATTGAAGCTTGGTCCTGTAGGCTTTGGGGAATGGCCACTTCTTCCTTCAGAGGCTTCCGGTCCTGACCGGTGCAACGCAGGGCAACAGTATAATATATGTACTGGATAGTGGGGATATGAATGAGTTTTTTGAGCATAACTCAATTGTCTCAAGGATCACCTAGACGTACCTAGACAATCATGTGACGATGTTTGCCCGATTGGATCCAACCAACTAGGCCCAGATCCCCACCTTAAAGACCCCTTTGCTTTCATGTTGTTCTTTCTCCTCTTCTGACCCCATCGCCTCTTCAATCTCCACGGGTGCATCCACAGCATTGTTGAGGACCTGAGCTCTCTCATGGGCCTGCTCAGTATCTTCATGTCGAGTTTCCTCCTGCACTGGTTCCTCCAAGACTTGAGATTCCTCTGCACGTTCTTGGTCTTCAGGGATGGCGAATTGCTGTTGGGAATCATCAGGGGCAAAGATCTTGACCTCGGCAGACTCACAATCCACATACTGGTGCTCCTCCAGGTCAATGACTTCTGAGTCATGGAGGTCAATCTCTATCACCTCCTCCTCATCTCCGCTAGGGTCATCCTCACCCTCTTCCGACTCACCCCCCTCCTCGTCATCTTCTGCATCGGTTTGCGCAGGTGCGGCTTCCCCAACAAGGCCAGATTCAGCCTGCAAGCTTCGAATGGGAGACCAGACTTGGTCACCCATTGCTTGTGTCTCCATGTTGTCCATGTAGATGGCCCGTTTGGCTGCCTGATCGGCAACATCAATTCCGGTTCAACCAATTGAGTATGCAACTGTTCATGCCACTGTCGGAAATATCCATGATGGGCAAAATGCAGTAGTATATTCTATAAGATAAACTATGCATGCAATTCCGGTTCCAATATCTCATTGAAGGAAACGAAGGTGCCTCTTCTTGCTTCAAACGGCGTGCTCCAACACCCGGTGTTGGAATTTTCTTTCCCTCAGGCGAGAGCATCCCGTGTTCCTGGCCGAGCTGAAGTGAGTGGGAGGCAGCCCTGACAGGCTGAGAATGGCCTATGAGCTTTACTAAAGCAAAGGAGCAACATTATAACAATACTGTGCACAACCAAGTAGATACAACCAAACTCACTGGCCCAAGGGTTGAAGATGGTTGAAGCAATGAACCAGTGTTGGGATCTCCAATTGAGTCCTACCTGCTGCAACACTGGCCCCAATTAATTCTCCTTCAGGTTGGCATAGATCACAGCGCGAAGCTCTTGCATCGGACCATGCCCTTTCCTGCAAGTCCAGCATTCCCATGAAGGGTTGATCGGTTGTTCATGATCAAGTTTGGAGACTTGCACTACACTTGCATGGAGTAGCCGCCTATATTGATATTGTTTTTTAAGTTCACCTGCTGTAAGAAATGTGATCGTGATAGCCCCAACAACCCCATCCTCGAGTTGCGGTACCGCTGGAACCTGTCCATGCAGTATGCAGCGCATTGCCTCAGGATGCCTCCCTCGGTTTCCGCCCAGGCCTGCCATTGCAGAGAGAAACTATTGTGCATTGTAGTGGTTACTATACAGGTTTTGGCAATCGTTGGCAAAACTTGTTCCCATGCATGCATGCATATCCCCAACTTGTCGATCGACACGTTGCAGACTGCACCTGGTGCAACTTTGGATTCGACCAAGGGTTCAGCATGTAGTACTGACTTGCCCAAGCCAAAGCATCCTGAGCAGAAGGCATGCGTCCAAGGTTTGATTAGAAAGAAGGGGATGCAAAATCACTGTCATTGACAGTTATACCAGGCCTTTACATCAAGAGCAGGGGGTAAATCATGAGCAAACCCGGCTAAGTACTCCAAGATCAGGCCATGGTTGTGCTCGGATTCTACCTGCTGGGCAGACTTTGATTGTCAGTTTCACTGTCGGCTAGAATGTGTTTCACCGCAACTCAGACTCATTGGCCTTTGAATTGAATGTTCATTCATATAAATAAAGATCAAAGGCCTCCCGTTCACCAATCCGAGAACGCTCCACGATGAGGAATTGGAACTTTGGCACCTGGCGGGATGGAAGGTATAAGCAAAGGGCAAATATAATAAATTTGGGTATCTGATGATCATCAATTGGACAAGTATTGCTAATTCGGTTGCTTTGGTCACATGTTCGTTTCACAGCCTTCACACACACAACACACTTTATACTTTCAATCGGATGTCAGCTATTCTGCCTAGGTATCATTGCATGCTCCACTTCTTTTGTTTGCTTTGGGCTGAGGTTCAGTCAAAACAAGACTTGAATCCAGCAGTACTTCCACAGAATTCTCTGTATGGTGTTGCGTTAAGCATTGCCCGACACATTTTGAGACACTTTGATAGGGCACCTTGCGCTTCTCCTTCTCAGACAAGCCCGCTCGTTGCCGCAGGAGTCTCCTGCGTGTGTCCAGGAAGCTGTCCTCCTCAAGCACGTCCATTAGGAATGCCTGCACGCACATGCACACCAGAAATTACTGCACATGGTTCATCGCTTCAACCATATGCGATATGCATTCAGGGCTCGGAAAAACACCTATATGCACATTATATATCCTTAAAAGTGGTTCAATGTTCTTTCATATGCACAGTTTTTCATCATGATCGAAGTAGAATATGCATGCATGCATGTACCTCCAACCCTTGCCCCATCGCCTTGACCTCCTCTGTGCGAGTGAGGAGTCCCGCCATGGCTAGTGTTGCCCGAAACTTTTCCCAGTGGATTAATGCCAAAACGGTGCCAATGCCCTTTCAGGGAAAACTGGTTTACTTTCATGTGCAAAAAATTCCCAAGTTATCGTCAAATAGATGATCTAAGGTCAATCGAACCAAATGCAGGGTCAAATCAAAGCGAATGCCCCAGAGCAGCATATGGCTTCAGGCCATCCACACTCCACTGCACTGGTCTTTTGGTTTGAAACCTTTCGGGTGACAAAAGAGTGGCAACATCTTGCAAGCTTGGTTGCATAAGAAACGCGTGCACTAAACTGACGTGAGATTGCCTCAAGCCCGGAAGGTGGGGGTGCGCACCTGAAAATTCTTTCAGTTCCGTCTCATCCAAATCCACGATGTTCTGTTCGAGGGATGTTTCAAAGGTGCCTCCAGTACAGGTACGCATGCAAAATGAAAAAATGAAAGCATGCCTGAACTCCAAATTGAAGCTCACACCAAGCCCTGAACGCTGTTCAAGCGCCCGCTTCATCTATAGTGCTCCATTCGTGAACCATGGAGCACACACTATGTTGGTGCTGTAATGATCTTTGTTTGCCCACATCTTGTGCAGTGTTTCTTTGTCACATTTGTTCGGCATCAGTAGTTGCCATGACTTTGCAACCCCACGTTATAATTGTTAAATGTTTTAGTGCGGGATAAATTGCATTAGATCAACAATTGATGGAGCCCCAATGCGATATATGTTATAGAGGCTCGTTTTTCTAGATCCTCTGACATTGTAAGGTCAAATTCAAAGGCCTTGAGTTAATTATACAACCATGATACTGCATGGGCCATGGAAGAAAAATGAATGGTGTTGCTATCTCGAGCATGAGGGAGGCGTCGGCAATGATCACGAAGCCTGGACATGGGCGGGCGCGGAGATCTCAGGGGGAAATAGTCGTTCTCTGACAGATATAGGCTCCAACTCCGAGACTATTTTTCAAATAGGCTTTGAAGCCTAGGGTATTGTTTTCTTATATTGTTATTGTTTTCAGTGCATGGTCTATTCACGAAAGGTAGCTTGAGCTACCTGAGTTCTCCTTGCTTTAGCAAAAATGTATTACAATCAGGAGTTGGGATTGTGCATTGAATTTGGTCCTGTAAGAGTTGATTCTGTTCGTCGGGGGGGGGGGCCCCCCCCTCCCTGGATCAATCCCCCCTGCGACGGTTCACGCCGTCATGGACTTCTACCAGGGTTACTTGTGATTGCCTGCTACCTTTCGTTCACCCCCTCCTCTCTCAAGTCTATTCTATTCATGCATGGTTTGGGTTAGCAACAGAGCTTTTCCTTCACATTTGACTCGTAGTGAAGGATGTGCTCGTTGGAGTCCCGAAAGCTGTGCAGATCTGGGTGTGTTGCAGCAGCTTGCCCCAGTGCATCATAGTCTTTGATGTCCAGTATATAGTCCAGTTTGCCGGGTTGTGGTTGGGGTCTTCTGAGATGGCAAACCCCAAATCCCACCTCAAAGAATGAAACAAAAGGCCCGGTCGCTTCGTTCTATTTTGCTTCCAGCAAATGGCCTGGTTAGCCTGGTTGGGTCTTTTCAGATCACTGACTCAGCCAATTCCGATTTGCCAGCAACATGGGAGCCGGAACTCAGCGCGTTTGGGGCTGCAGGAGACTCAACTTTCTCCAGGGCTTCCGACTGCCGGGGGCTGCCGCTTGGGTGATATCGGGCAACGATTTGCCGAAGGTGCCCCCTTGATGTTTGAGAGACGTCACCCAGAGAACCCAGACAACGTCGCCCTGTTTGAAATGCATTTGGACCCTCCGACCCGAAGGTATTTGGACCCTCCAAGCCCACACCAAACGCTTCCTTAGACGGTGCTTGCAGGGTTAGTCTTTAATCCACGTTTGCTTGTGCAACAGAGGTCACTCGATATAAACAAAGGTTTGCTTCCCAAAGGCTTTGAGTTTGGACCTAACCCATTCGCGGTCTGGTTTTGACCCTCACAATCCCTGACAACTCGTGTGTAATGGGCCGAAGCAATGCTTCGGGTCCAGTCGCCTTTGGGTCCAACTACTGTTTCACACTAGGACACGATCAGATTCATCAGATTGCTTGCGCATTTGAACGACCATGTGTCAGGACACCACTTCTGACATTTTCTCACTAGATTTATCCGGAAGAGGAAACGCTCTCACAGAGAAAAGCGATCTTCTCACCAGGTAGTCGTGGCTGAGAAGACATACTTCTGGGTCTCCAATTATTTCACATGTTCACCAGGAGGTTGGAATACAATCCAACGAGGTGGCGAGGCGAGGTTGGCAGAAACTTGGCACCCGTGACTATCGCAGGATGACGTCGGCCCCCAGTGGGAGTAAGCTGTCGTTTTAGAAGATGGTAGCCGTTTGGACATGCCATCACCTATATAAGATCTATAAGTCTATAACGTACATTCTTCCCAGTTCCAACTGCATCCCTAGTCACCCATCCCAGTCACCCAGTCACCCACAAACAGAGGTTTTTCCGACAAAGCTCCGGTCGGAGCCGAAGCTCTGAGGCCATGGCATCGAATCTGCGGCTTTGGAGTGAACGTGTGGTCGACCATTGGAGCGGCCAAGCGCAGGAGATGCGCGGGGTTCCTCCGGGTTCCTCCAGTGGTGGGTTCGTTTCTGAAGGGTACGTTTGGGTGGGTGCCAGGAGGATCCAAATACTTTCTGAAGAGGCACTTGGAGTGTTAGGGCATGGAATGGTGAACGCCGGTGTTTCGGTGGTTCTTTTGGGTTCAAAGGATGGAGACTCCAGAAAAGGGAGCTATACCATACCAGTTAGTGAAGGACACCATGCGGGTCAGTGCTTCTTGGATGTGCTCGGTATTGTTCGGTGTTTGTTCGGTTGAATTGTTGTTTTTTCTCCGGCATTTGGATAGAACCTCTTCTTATAAGGTTTGTATGAATTTAACATGTCTTACACAAGGGGCGATCAGGGGTTTCCCCCCTTAAAATGCACACCCAATATGACCATATATGAAGGTTTCGTCAAACGACCAGTCGTCCAAGCGCCAAAGGATGTCAACACATGTCAACGCATTGGGCCTTTCCACGCTTCATGTCTACCGGAAAAATCCATGGTTTCGTGTTCATGGCCTCCTTTGTTTGGAAGGGGACACATTGACAAACTTCGAACGCCCTACAGGTCCAGTCTGACCCAGGAAACCTGCTCATTGACTAGTGTCTTTATGATTGTTTGTCAACCTCCCATATGAGGAGGTCTTGCAATCCAAAGGGATCGTTATAATCAAGAGTCTACATTGGCCGACCAGTGCTGTGCTGTGATGTCACCATCGCTTTTTCCCTAGATTTTGTTGATGAATAATAGGTGTATAGTTATATGATGTTATATGATGTTAAATATTCCCTATTTGGTTATATGGTCGTACGTTATATATGCTAACACCTCGGCACCTCTCCTTTTTCTTCAACCAGCCAGGACTCGGTAAGCCCTTTGTTGCCTTGCCACACCAATCAGTTCGGAGAGCCCAGAGTGCCGGACCGGATAAAACGGGGAGGTTAAGTGGATATAACGTTGTTTAAAGCATGTTTCACCTCTTTTTGGTTGAGAACTGGAAAAAAATATCACTCAAATCCAACGGCGGAAACGGTTCGGGAGTCGGATCAAAGCTTCGCTCGAAGGGTCTTCGTTCATATGTTCGGCCTGTGTGCCTGGTACAACACAGGTCATGTTTCTCATAACGTTTGGTGTGCGTGGTATCATCAGGTATTTTCGACTGTCAATTGATGTCATTTGTGTTGGGGGAGCATAACTTGGAGCCATTACCTTGGCCGTTTCCTATTGTAGTAGGAGTTCTAAGCAAATGTAGAGAGCCTTGTACCGTGTGTGAGGAACAGCATCAGTGGCCAGACCCCATGAAGTCTCAAGGAACTCTTGTGGAATAGATATGGGTTTGTTTTGCAGGCCACTCATGCAAATTTCAGACGTTATGTTTGGCGTGTCTCGGCCTTGAACAGAGCAACATGTAATTAAAGATGGGAAGAAAACAAGTAAGATGATTCCTACTCTCAAACCAAATCATGTTGTATGACACGAGCCGATGGTTTTCGTCACTTGGTATGTGGAGGGCAAGCTGTTGCAAGTTCGAGTTGCAAGTTTGCGACTATTGCAAGTTCGTGTCCTGCCAGGTGTTAGAGAGGGCCACAATACCTTCGAACAATGGCCACTATTGGCATGTTTTTAGCCAATCAGTGGTAGCTAGATCCACTTGATCGGTCATTCTTCCGTTGCTCTACACCCATACGGGCGCCACCGGCAGAGCATGGATACCCCTGAAGCTCCTAGAACAGCTCGGTTGGGCGGATGGGTTGGTTGGTTAATTTCCCGAATTGAGTGAATCGCCTTCTGGGGAATGTTTCATGTGTTTCTTGGTGCCTTAAGCAAGTCCTTCCGATGGTTTTCAGGAGTTCTCCACACTCACAAGCTGGTGGCTATAGCTATGTTCAGCCGGCATCCCCATTTTTGGAGGGCTGATGGACAAATGCACGGCACCCCAACTTCGGGCACTCAAGACATGGGAGAGGCGGTGTTCAGTTTCAGCTTGTTGATTTGATGAGAATTGCTTGGGTCAAATTTCCGGAGCATGGGAGCATGTCGCCAAGCTGAAAACGGCACTGCGAACCGATCCTTATGGGAGTTTGTTTGAGGTTCGCCTGTAGAGATACCATCCGAACAACATGTTTTGTTGCCCTCGTGCTTCCCTTTTGATGGCTTATATTCCATGATCTACTTGTGTTCTTAACTCGTTTTCCTTTGCAAGTTCGGCTCACAATTGGTGGGGGGAAATGGATGTTTTACGACTTCTCTTCGGATGATCTTGGCGGGTCCAAGGCTGGCGAGGTTTGAAATCTTCGTCAAGGTCACCAGGCGCAGAGACGATGCGCGGCGTAGACCGGCGCGGTGCGGATTTGGGGCGACTCCAGCGACCTCGGAGTTAACTCCAGCGACCTCCACATGCGCGAACGAGAGCATTTCACTTTGCATGTGGAAAGCCACCCGCAAAAAGTGCTGGGATATTAGTGCAGAAGCTGATGAGGCGGAAGGTTTGTTCCAGCTTGATGGGGCTGACGGGGTCGTGTCATGTTTGGGCGTATCTTGCCCATGTCAAGAGTTTGTGGATGTTTTGGCTCGTGTTTGGGAGGGGGCACGGCAAGAATAGAACTGTTCCCATCTCGTTGACAGGGTGAACTTTGGAATGTGGAGCACAACTGTGTTGTTTCTTGAACTGTACAGCGAAGTTCCCTTCATCGACCAAACGTGACTTGCCCGAGATTCCTTCGGAATGGAACGCTGTTTCAACCATGAACATAGGGAGACCGACCCCAGGCAACGACCCTCTGGAAGAAGGGACATAGACCGAAGGGGGTCGATCTGGACACCAGTCTGCTGCACTTGGTGCTGAAATCCTGCCCAGTTCGGTGGATCACCTGCAGGGAAAACGGAACTGGGGACACGTCAGCTTTCACCTGAACAGGTGGAAACTGTCAACTAGCTGTGTTTCTCATCGGCGGACTGGACCCAGCGGTTCGACTGGACTGCGGTCGCCACGGTGCGCAGGTTCATTCTCGAGGGCGATGCGCTCATTTTGACGACTCTGGGCAGCAGGTACGGACTGTAGCATGGCTCGATGGCAGAACGCAAGTCACAGTCATCCATAGTCATCCCTCATGGCTCGAACGTTGTGAAGCCTGAATGAATCTACCTCCCTGGAAGCAAGAACTTGCAACTGTGCAACATGTATGCCTTTTCACTTAAAAGCAGCCAAAAGGATCCAAAAGGCACAGATGTTGCCCTCAGTTGGAAGTTCCAGGTATTCGTATAACTGTTAACTGCTGTTTGAAGGACTTCTCCTGCCCAAACCCCTCGCTTTTCGTGAACCGGTTCGAAAACGCGGCCCAAACCCGTATGGAAAAACCCTCCAGCGTGCCCAGCCAGCCGGAACGCGGGTCCCAGCTGGCGCTCAGGAACAGCGTTCCGTTCGGACAAGCATATTGGGAGCCCTCCACCGAGCCTCGGCCGTTGGCGGGTCTCGACCCCGCAGGTGTTTCTGCGGCGAAGTCGCGGTAGCAGTTGACTAGTTTTGGCAGTTTTGTTGTACTTTAAGGTCTTTGGTTAAAGCACTGATGCATCTACACTCCACACCACTATCAACGATGATATTCCATTATCCTACGGTCATATAGGATAAACCTATGTCATTGTCCACCTCGTTTTGCAGCCCAGCCCAGCATCCCTCTCATTCTTCAGGAAGCTGGCTACGAGCCCAACATGGAGATGTGCTTGGGAAGTCATGGACCGGTCCGTCTCCGCCACCGTCCGTCGTCGTCGCACCGGCACCGGAACCTGACTGCGTGCGATGCGTCCGTACCGTAAGTAGGTGGCCCTTTCGGGTGGCTGGAGATGAATCTGAGTGGATCCCAGGCAAAGCACGAAATAAGGAACCAGGGATTCTATGGGATTCTAAGTCGGTTTCAGTCTTTGGAACCCATTTTGGGGAATCCTAAGGAATCTGTAGTCGGGTTCTTTTCTACGGTTATTCCATGATTCTCTCCCTTCAGATGTAGAGAAACACTCGTACTCGTCGCAGCAGTCAGTGCCTACCCTGCTTCGCTCTGAAGCTGGAACAGCTGCATGCGCAGGGTTTTGGGCTGAATTTGTTGGGCAGGTTTATATTTTTACCATGGAAAGAACAAAGCTAAATCACTGGACACATCAAGCAATGTTTGACTTAACCCTTTGAATTGACAAATTACAAGGCCTTGATGCTTATATATGCTTATACCATCACAAACGTGTTTAAAGCTCAGACTTCTGCTGAACATCACAATCGTTACACCAGTCATTTCCTTGATAATAGCACACGTGCTGTGCGGTCAGCTGCGCTCGATCACTCCATGTCTGTTGACGAGGGCTCGCACTCGTTGACGTGCCACGACTCCTGGGAGACGGATCTTTCTCGTGACCATTTTTGGTGACTTTGGACCTGGTGATGGTCATTGGCGCAGCGCGCACCCGGTTCCAAACCATCCTGTACGTTCGAAAGGAATGAGGAACAGCGGACCCACAACTAACCAATGGATTTGGTGACTGACTTGGTCCGTGGCGTTTGACTCTTATTTGTTCTTCTTCTATATGAAAAGGTCTCGAAGAAGTGGAACAACATGTTTTATCAAGCATTTGAGGGGTGACGTCATGATATCCAAATTCGGAAGGTATTCAGATTGTTCAGTTATATACATCACAACATCAAACCTGGCCCACCAAGGAGCTTGTCGTATAGGACGGAGGAATCTTGAGGGAATCTTGAGGAGTCCTTTACAGCTGCTTGGGGTCCTGTCCCACCAACCCCTTTCTATCCCTTTCTCATTCATCACTCATCCCCCGACACCTGACAAGCTGACCAAAGCCGGACGACCTGCAGGAGGCGTGTCCTCCAATGGCACCTGGCTTTGCGATGGCCCGGTGCTACCGGTGAATGTCACGCAGCAGTCTGTGCTGAGAGCTTCGGTGAATGGAGAGGGGAGCACCGGCCGCTGCTCCAGCGGTTCGTTGTGAACGCTGGATGCAGCGCCCCAAACAGTACGACCTCAATGACCCACTCTCCAACTGCTCAACGAGTGCACAGTAGCAGATGTTTTACGATATGTTTTTCTTCGGTCCATTTCACTCGAGTTGTGAGGATCCAAGCTTTAGTGAACGGGTTGGGTCCTGACTGTCGCCTTTGGGCCTTTGGGTGGCCTGCACAAGCCCTTGAACACCGCGCTCGGTCATGGATGTGGTTGAAATCCATGGGGCCAACTGGCCAGGTAGAAGTTTGACTTGACATGTGAATCTATCTCTTCATATATGGTAAGTTTTTAATGTTTTGTTTGATTGATCAAACGTCCACATAATATATAGTGGGTTTTCGAGTTTCACTTGAACCTTCAAACCACCCCCCACCTCGCCACTTTACCAGAGCCTCGCTTCATCTAATTCTCTTAGCCTCCGTGGAAACCGTGGATGAGGTGTGTGGAAACTCCAAGCTGTCCCACTGGTCCAGCTGTCCATGTGTGTGTCCATGGTTTGCTGTTGTTTGTGGTATAAAAGAATCTATATGACCAAATACTCACATTTGATAGATCCTGACTGGTTCACCCCCAAGCAAATAAAACTATGTATATCGAACACGTTTCCCATGATAGAAGAACAAATAAGTTATGCTTCTCTCACAGTTCCTCGGAGTTTTGACAACAAGAATCAGTGTCTTCACTTCAATCAGCACCAGAAGAGGAGGATCACTTGCTTGGCAGCTGAAAATTCCTAAATAACAAAAGATAGAGGTTGAAAGATCTCCTAAGCCACTGAATCCCGTGAACAAGCAATGATGGGGTGACTTGTGGCAGAAGGCGCTATCGCACACGGGACGGCGGCACGCCGTGCCGTTGAGGAAACAGCGTGGGCATCGGCATAGGAGTGGAATTGGTCTTGGGCGCTGTCAGGCCGCAGGACGTTCTGAGCCAGGCGTCGGGTTGATGGGCGCTTTTTTGGGGCCGTGGTTTTCACTCGAAGACCTGAGTCAGAAAGGCCTGAGCAAAATGTTGGGGGGTGGAGGTCAGATGACATTGGCTTATCAATCACCCGCTTGAAAATTCCATGTTGGATCAGTGGATGTCCCGTTTCCTCCCACCAGAAAGGATGAAGGCAACAATCGAATTCCCTGCACAAAAGCTTCTAAAAACGAAGCGTCGCTTCAAGCGGTTCACCTGCTGCGATCAGCCCTCAGCGTGTGATCCCCGCGCCGGCGCCCCATCCAGGCAAGTTTGGATGAAGTCTCTGGAGCTTTGCAGTTGGAAGGAGAGGGAGAAAAGAAAGATCAAGGGAAGCCGCGTGTTGTTCGAAAGCCCGGCATGGATTTCAGAAATCGTGAAGGGGTTTCGACTCGCATGAAGAGATCATGAAGACGATGAAGAGGATGAGGTTGTTTGTGTTTTGTTATTAACACACTGAGGATGAGTGGGACTTTGGATATGACTTTTCGAGCCCTAGGGGAGGTTTTATGTATTTTGTGGTGCATACCGAAACCCAACAGCGGAGGTCACGAGAGGGCGGCCGCTTAAAAAAGCCAGACAGGCCTGGTCGTGAGATACTCGACTCCGTCACGCGAACCGGGGGCATGTCAAGGTTCTTTCAAAACATCAAGCGGCCAGAAAACGGCAGCAAGTCATCCACAGGTCCAGTCTGACCCAGTACATGAAGACCTCATATTAGTTATAATTAGTAAAGTGAGACCTGTACCCTCCAACCAGTGTTTTTCTTGGACCCCTAACGGGTAGGGGCACCTGTGGTCACCGGAGGAACCGGAGTCGCGCCAGACCCACTCGAGCGCAGGAGACATCGGCAGTCGCGCCCTGGCCATGGAGGCCAACCGGGACTACCGGCTTCGTGGCTGTGGCGGAACATCAGGGGACAGGTCGAGGAACCGCCTGGACCGCCTTGGACCCCCTCCAGGTCTCCGAACGTCGTGGCTGAACAAAGTGGACTTCTTACGTGGTGACCTGTGAAGTCGGGTGCGGTTGAGGGGAACATGTCGTTTAGAGGGGAAGAATCCGTTGAAAGGGAGGTGCCTTGGAGGTTTTGTGGTATGATGAGGTACTTGATGTGATTTTCTGATTTATTTGTGTGCTCACGCTTTTTCTATCTTCCCAGACGCGACCTGTTCGGCCCCTGCGTTCAAGGACCGGGGCCGTACCCGAATCCGGAGGGGTCCGGACCTTCAAATCCGTTTGGTTTGGAGCGTCTGGGTTGGTGGCGACTCGGTACACGAAGTTGGTCCCGATGGATGGAGGATTCCGGTCGACCGGTCGACCAAGGATTCGGTTGGGTATTTCCCTACCCAGTCATGTAACCTTTCCCATACAGGTCGACCTCATTGGAGTGTTGGTTATCAAAACACTACTCAAGGTAGGGTTTCACTGCATCAAGTTCCGCGCGACGTGAAGAGGTGGAGAAAACGGTGTGGAACTCGCTGTGAAAACGATGGGTGTTGGAACTCGGTGTCCCCTTGTGGAGTTGGACTTGTTCAATTGGGTATGTTAGAGTGTGTCCCAGTGGATCCCATGCAAGCCATGGCAAATCACTAGCTAGTCCACTAGCTATATAAGGAACCAGGGGCCCTTGTTCGGTCTATGGTTTTAGTCTTTGGAACTGCTGGTTGCCAGCTCTATAGTGGTAATTGGATGCCTTGGGTGTCCTATCCCGAGGGCTTCTGGCCCATATCGTCAGGTAAGGTGCTTAGACTTGGTTTGAACTGTTAACAGCCCTACTGTATAGGGTGTAATACAAAGTATCATCGAGCATTGAGATCTAGGCCTGCAACCCACCCATCTTGATCCACCACACTCGGAAAACGAACTGGTACCTCGAATCCTTGCGATGCACTGCGATCCTTCCCAAGGTATTTGGTTGCGCGCTTCGGCGGCCCCCACGCTTTGGACCATCCGCACGGATGACGCCACTTCGACGCGAGGAGTCGAGGAGTCGAGGAGGATGGGAAGAAAGCAGAGATGAAGGATAAGCGCCCGGTTTTCAGCGGGTGTGACCCGGAATCGCCTGGAATCAGAAACTGCTTTTGGATCCTGTTTAATTCTGTTTATTGTATCATACATGGTTCAAGGCAGGTGGCAAAAGGACGCCACCATCTACTCGTCATGCCCATATAATAGACAAACCCAGCTTGGAATGGGTCGAACACGTCCGGTCAGAACACGTTTTTCGTGACGTCGACACGTGGCGCTTTGACGTGTCTGCCGGCCTCGAGGTGAGGGGCTTCCTGTCGAACACCAACGATGGCCTCTTACCTGGGGTGCTGGCCGTGCCCGACACTTGGATGACCCGCGTGTGAAGCGATGTGTGTGGCTTGATGCCGGTCTGGGGGTCTGTCAACGCCTTGATGGGTGAACATCTCACATGGACGGCCAAGACAAGTACCCTATAGGGATCCAAGTGCCTTCTGAGAAGGTACTTGGATCCCTAGGGGTATAATTGTAGCAGTTGCTTGAGGAGGCGGGAGAGCAGTCGGACTGCTTCAGAAAGATCTTTTGATTTCGCTGTCAACAAGCACGGGTGTTCGTGCAGAACACGGGGGCTTCTACTTCTCAGCATGGGTGAAAAGGAACCTTCACCAACATCTAGCAGCGTAGCAGTTGGAGACCAGGGCATTCGCCTCGCCTCGTTCGGCTCTGCGCGCGACGTGTCGGCGACGCCGACGCCTCCGCGTCGCCTCGGGTCTGAGGAGATGAGCATCACCGTGACAGTGATGCTTTTTGGAATGCAACAAAACATGCCAGGATCATCATGTCTGGGTGTCCAATAGACTACCCTACCCTACTTACAGGTCCGCAGACCGGGCACATCCGGGCACCCGAAGATGTATTTTCCATCTAATAACCACCTTGGGTGGTGCTGGTTGATTGTAACGACATCTCCCTGATGGGAGACACCTTCTGAATCGCCAAACCGAACCCCGGTCAGAACGCGGGCAGTTCGGTCTTCCGACTTCACCGGTTCGGTCACCACCGGTCGCGACGTTCTGTTTGTCTGCGAACTGTTCGGCCACCATAACTCGGAGACCTGTTGTTCCGGGTCCAGGTATAGGAACTCTGGTCCGACTTGGAGCTTTCTAAGACTGCCGGGGGGGGGGGGGAAGACGGTCGGATCTCGTGATGGAGAGTTCAGAGGGGAACACAAACGGGTCGGGTCATGATGGTAGTTGCAGTGGGCTAGAGGTGTGCCATGCCGTTTGCCTCAGACTGTGAAAAGACTTGCCTTTTTGAAAGAGTTTTGAGAGCTCGAACCACCAGTTTAGATAGGAAACACGGAGGAATTGGTTCGGTGATTCATCAAAAAGCCTTCTTTGTAGGTGGTGCAGGAGTTGAACAGTTGTTCCCTTGCCCTTTGAATATCGGATTTGCTGATTCGGAGGTTTTGCTTGAAGTGGAACACGAAGTCAAGAGCCACAGAGCCCGGGGATACGGGATGAGTTCTTCAGAACTTCAGGAAATTGTCAGAAAAGGTGAACCAGTCAAGGCTTGTATTACATGCCAAGTGGTTCAGTCACCTTTTTTGATCAATGATCCCAAACAATCCACCTACAGTATATGTGCCTACACCTACACGAAGCCTGCAAAAACACCACCGGTGTGCATTCATGCCACGCATGGATTGTAAGGAGATGTATATATATATACATCTTTCAGAAACCTTTGCTGAGACAAACCTGGGCCCGAGATCCATAGAATGGTGGTTGGACTCGGTGCTTGAGGACTGACCACATGTGGATCGATTGGATAAGGATCACAGCTCCAGCATCAGAAACTTTACACAACATGAGGCAACTAGGGATGGATGGCATCAATGACATCCCACGTTCAGCAATTGAAAGAAACATCTCCCAGCTTCTTCAGTTCGTGACCTGCCTTTGGAGGGTCCCAGCCAGTGACCCTGTAGTAAGAGGCTAAGCCTTGTGACCGTGCCACCCGGGATCTCAGCCTGGGTCAGGAACTGAAGAACCAGGCTCAGGCATTGGATTTTGAGCAACCCTTTTTGTTTTTGGCTTGCTGGTCGTCACAAGAACGCACCCACCGTCACTCAATTCTTTGGGTGGATATTCCCCATATTGAAGTGGTGATTCTTTGGGCTTCTAGGATTCTGTAGATTCCGGATCACCTCAGACTCAATGTCCACGACCCAGATCCACCCGACTCGGCATCAGGTCCCATACCTCCCCAGGTCTTTTCATCTGATCATCGATTCCCCAGGCTCTCACGCACGCCGCCGGAATCCTCCGTTTGGGTCCGCATTCACATCCTCACCGGCCCAGAACAGCCCCTTGGGCAGCGATGAACACATCCTCTCGTCGCGAAAGCCGCCGCGCGCGCACATCCGCAGCCACGTGGGCGCGTGCCGCGTGGGCGTTGGACGCGGGAGGGGGGATCGGATTGAGCCTCTTAAGTTGACCGAACTGTGGAGACAACCAGGCCATCCAGGCCTTCCCAGGAAGTGACCGGGTCACTTTCGAACCCAGGCAGCTTTTTTTCGGTTCCAGTTTGTGGGAAGCTTTGTATGAAGTTGCATTAACTGCCATGCCTAGCCTCCATCTTCGGATTTTCTTACAAATGCTCCCTCCATCTTCGGTTCTCAACATCAGTTTGACTCCTCCGACTCCCGAGCTTCGATCCAGAACGGTGAACCCAACTGTCCGAACTGGCGTGACCTCAAACACCTGACACGGTCGGTCTGTTTCTTTCACAAAAAAATCGGCGAATTCGGAATCATTCAGTGCGTGACATGGTGCCACGTCCCCCAGCCACGCGGGCTTGGGAGATCCGGTGCGTACCTCGAGGGGTCCGGCTGCCGGGCCGGCTGCCGGTGGTGGCGGGTCTTGGAATCTAATGATGATTGATATCAAGCACTTGTGTTAAGTCGTCTGGTCTTGTAGAAAGTCGTCTGGATGTTGCGTTTCTATTGGGGTTAGATGCAAGATGTCACCCTCATTGGAAGATAAGCTTTGGAGTGTCAGTTCAACACCATTGTTTGGAGCTCAAGCATCAGTGGAACATCTTATGAACAATAGGTTGATTTCTTGCAGCGATCACAGATTCAGGGCAAGCATTTTGTCAGATTCGACATGCTTCGTCGGTTGTGGGATTGTTCTTTTTTTTTGCCTTTCACTCACATGGCATGATTGGCTCAAATATTCTAGATGGAAGACCACGTTCCTGAAGAGAAACGTGCTTGCATCAAACGCGTGACTTTTACAAACATACTTCCGTAGAGCGTTTACATTGTGTTTTAACATAAAACAGGTGACTTTTCGCGAGCCGGGTGACTTTTTGACTAATGCTGCGTTTCCATGCGGCCGGGTGGCTTTCTGCAAACCCAGGTGACTAAACCCTAGCGCTAGTAGTCTAGTCGCTGTTGATTGACAAAACGAACACCTCCCTCTACCAGGCTGGTTTTACATCTTCATATATATATATATATACCTAGGACCTGATTGACCCCTGTGTTGGAGCCAAAACATGGTCTTTTCCTATCAAAACAGAGGTCAAATGGGGTCTAGGTATATATATATATATAATATGTTTTTTTTGCAACAGTCTAGATGTGTTTGAATTACACTCTGACGAACACATCACATGGAAGTGGATGGCATGGTCACTTGGAAGACTACTTTCCTCTACAAACACGTGGTTTTCCACTTCCATGGACTCAACTCAGTCACATGCTGGGACGTCCGATCTCAGTCGCTGGGACCGTGTCCTTTGAAGACGGTCGCGGAGGTTGCGAATTCGCACGGTCACGTCGTCCAGAGGAATCCTGTTCAGCCATCATGCCTACTCTCATCTATAAGGCTTGATCTTCTTATCCCTACACTGTAAGTCTTAAACACATATTACTTATTTGTAGCATCACACGCTGTATGAATTATACGGGCTTATCTGAACACTCTAAGGTCTTATCCCAACACGGTATTACTTATAGCATCTCATGACTTCCGACTTCACCCTAGGTCTCAGTTCAGTCGCCTTCAGCTCCTCTTGCCCTACGGCTTCTCACCCGTGGGTGCGGACGCCGACCCCACCGCGCGGCTCATTGTGGAGCTCTCGTTGGAACAGGGCGAAGGCAGCAACGCCCAAATGGAAGAGACGGAGAGAGGGAAGCGAAGTCTCCCGCCCTATAGAGCTCCTGTCCTGCCTTCGTTTCGAAGGTGGTTAGGGTGGGTGCTAGGGGAGGTTGTGCTCACCTAGCCTGAGGATGCGGGCCAGGAGCCCTAATTAGGATATTTGTTTGCTATGGTTTGTCTTCCAGTGGAAGAGCTGGGAAGTCGCCCTATTTTAACACAAATCCAAAAAATCACAGACACGAGCTGTTTGGGCAGTCCTGGAGTCCTGGGTCAATGTAGGATTAAATATTCCAGCGTGGTGTGTTTGAGATATGAATTGATGTACTCCTGGAATGATAGGTTTCCTGACTACAATCCCAGGTCAACCTTTCTTTTAATAGTCTTGACATGTCTTTGAAGGCTAGGCCCTACGGCTAGAACCCTGAAATGGATCACCTTCAACTGATGGGGTTATGGCTTTGTATCATAGTACTGTATCCAAACACTCCATGTATGGAACAAGGAACCTGGTCGCACCCAGGAAATAATGTGGGGCCTTTGGTGAGGTTTGAAGGAATCCTTTGTGAGTGGAAACAATAAGATCCAACTGAACCAACTGCTACATGTTGGTTTGGTCCAAAGCTCCAGGAATTGTGAGGATCCGAACTCATTCGGGTCCTTTCCGTTCCAATACCAAGATCCAGAAGTCGGGGGGGTTCTTTCGGTGCTGCTGGAAGGTACTCACTTTGATGCTTTGCCCACCAAGGGCTCCAGTCGTACCCCTCCTCAGGTTCGGTATGGAGCCCAAACTCACCCCAGTCCTACCTTCTCAGGTTCGGTATGACTGGAGCCCCCCAATGGTATGACTGGTCACCATGATTCCCATGTCCACCTTCGCGGCTTCACTTCCACGAACCCAGAATGTCTGGCCTCTGGGTGGATGGGAACTTCCAAAACACAAGTCACATGGGTTCCAGAGAGATCCATCATATGCTTTTGTTTGCAGTACAAGGCGGTGCATTTGGAGCTTACTATTTACAGCTTCACACCCCACTTTGGACCACCAACTCACGCTGAGAGGGCATGCTTGAGCTCGGGATCTTGAGCTCGGGACCTTCAAGATCCTTTCCTCCAGCGCTTCCTTTTCAATCACTTGAGATCCTGTTGGATCCTACTCCACGCTGAGCACTTCAGCACAGTCGGATCGACGCATGGCACGGTCCAAGCCTCGCTGGCTTTTGCTCGGCATTGCTCCTGCGCGAGGCATTTTGGACTCGGTCATCGGCATGACCTTCAACTTGCCGCTGGGATGGACCGGAAGATGAGAAGATGACCGTCGGGCCGTGTGTTTTTTTCCCTTTTTCGGTCGATGGAGAAGACTCAAGGGACCGCCAGGCAATCTTCCACAGGGTCACGTGGTGAGGAAGACTTAGTTTGGATGTGAAGGCAATACTTCAGCCTATCACGTGGTGCCTGTCTTGTGCTCAACTTGTCATTTATGAAAGTATCAGAGTTTGGACCCAACAAGCTGTACATGCATTTCTTCTGTCCAAAACCCTAGTGGCCCTAGTTGTGAGGGTCAAACCCCAGCGAACCTTTTGGTCCTGTTTGAGCCTTTGGGTGCGGAGATTGTTTTGGGGTACACGGGTACACATTATATTTGCCACCAGCCACTCGCCATCATCAGAGCCTAGCAGAGCCCTTGGTTGAGCCAGCTGGGTGACGCATAGTGGAACTGTCCACAGTGTGGTTGTTTTCGGTTTGAACTTGTTTTCGCCATCTCGTGGTGGATTCGTCCAAGATTTGTCACTGTTCACCCTGTTTAACAGCTCTCAACAGTGACAGTCAGTGACTCCCAGACGCCTCAGGCGGATCCAGACGCCGCCGCAGAGCATCCCGGACGCGCGGTGGTTCGTCTTGGCCAAGCAGGTCCGACCCGACCGGGCGGGGCGTTCGGGCGGAGCTCCAGCGGTAGAAGAGTCGCTTCACATCCCAGATCCGTTGTCGTGCCGAACCTGAGGTTCGGTCCGAGCACCTACATGTCTCAGTGCCGGTCTCACAGACACCGTACCTGAGTCCGGTGAAGGACCACGGGAAGCGCAAGTGACGTCGGTATAGGTCAACCACGGTATCCTGGTATATCCTGATACCATGGCCCACAGCGCCCACAGCCATGTGGATGATGTGGATAGTGAAGATGGAGTGGAGGGGGACGTGGGACATGAAGAGGACATCGGGCACAAAAAACGTGGAAACCAATAGGAAGTACCTGGTAACCTGGCGCAACTACCTAGTAGTCCACCCTGCCTGAGACATTTGCTAATAAGCTGGTTTCCAACTTCCAACAGTGTCTTTCAGGCCTTTTGACACTTCTTGAAGCAGAGGGTTTGTCTCGTTCTGAGTCTTCCCAACGGCAAAACTGAAATTTCGTGCTTGCATTGCAACATGGAGTTCCACATGTTTCACAGTTTCACCTTGAGTCTGAGCAATCAGGGATCCTGGACTCCAACTTCTTTCTTTCAGACTCTGAGCGCACGCCCATCGTAGAAGTCTCGTTGGGCAACGACGTCCAAAATGTGTCTCTTCCAGAATCGTCCTTCGTGCTGTCTGTGCGTCTACGTCAGCATGCTGTCAGCATGCTGTCACGGACGATGCAGCCATGGCCGTAGGTCATCGTCGACGAGATCACCGGCGAGATCACCGAGCCCGTGAATGGCTGGGCCTTCGCCAATGGCTTCGGCGTGGAGCCTTGCCCGGTGACGCTCATGTACGGCACCTCGGCCAGATGACGTGGAGCGGTTCGTGTGGGGGTTGACCAGATGACGTGCCGTGGGGGTGTAGAGTGGAGAGGCTTTGAAAAGAAGATTCTGAGCAGTTGTTGTGCGAATTCAGAGAGTTCTGTAGTTTCATTCATGTTCCTGGTGGGTGGAAATATGACACAATGGTCAAAATGGCTGTAGAATTGCTAATTGGCAGGATATTTTTGGAGGTGTGTGTCATCACACCATCGCCATCTGAGGATCCATCGCGAGTGCCACTGGTCGGGGGACCTGCGAGAAGACCGGGAGACTAACGGAAGAGTTGGGAGTGAACGAGGTGTGTATCAGGTCTCAGGGGATGTTCCCAAAGCCGACAGCTTGGCCACCCATGATGTGTATGTATTCGTGGGAGTTGGGGATCATCTATTTAACCATCCCATGTAGAGGCAAGAACCAAGGTCCTTGTAGGTGAAGAGTCCAAATGGCCCAAAGGCAAAGCGCAAGGACCCAACTCGTTCGCTAGGGTTATGACCAGACCAAGGGTGAGGGCTGGATGCTCGGGAGCCAGAGCCCAACAAGCGCCAGTGAGGTCACACTGGTTCGGGTCACAACGGAAAGATCTGAAAGCATCACAAGAATCAACTGATTCCCACTTTGGTGATTTTGCTGATGACTGAGCCTCGGCATACACATCCAAATATCATTCAATGGAGTCAGAACAGATCTTTGTGTAACCTCTCTTGTCCGCCAAAGAAAACGCCGCAGAGCTGTAGGTTGGCTGGCGCTGTCCTTCTACGTGCCGCGATCGGTTCAAGGACTGGCTTTTCCTTGCGACTTCCTCTCGGAATGTCAGTGAAAAACCCAGGATTTCCGTGGAGGGGCTGCCAGGTCCCGTCTCATCACCCTGTAGCCATCACAAGACGAGGTAGCTATTCCGTCGTGGTCGTGAACAGCCGCTAGAGCTTCATGGTCGTTCAACGACAGGGCCTGACCAATACCCGCCAAATCATGGTACTCTATATGTGTTTTACAACAAATGCGCACTGTGGTAAATACCTTGTTCGTTCTTTCTATTTGATAACTCCTTTAGTGATGCCAACAAACAAGAAAAGACTTGCACATACCACGCGGTGCATCCGCACGACAAAGAATCGTGTCGGTCGGACACATGACACGTCGTTAGGACGCTTCGTGCTGATCACAGCGCCCTTGGCCTTTGAAGTTCGTTGCCCTCAGGTGTGGGTACCTGTTTTTCATATTTTGTTAATATGTGTTCTTCCGTGATGTGTCGATGTGTTAGGTGATTGAGTCTGAAGTTTGTGGCCATGTTCAAACATTTTTGTTATATGGATCATGTTAGATCAAACTTATTACTTACATACACAAGTCGAGTAACATTCTTTGGAACTTGTCAAGTTATATAAACCATTTAATGTCAGGTGAGTTGTTTGGATAGTAAAATATATTGCAGTTTTAAAGGGACTTGCCTTTGGGACTGCATTGGTTGCCAGGGTTCTTAGATGTTCTTTGTGTCAGAAATCGTGGCAACCGGAGTCTCACTCACATGGAACACGGTGTGTGTGTGTGCCACCTAAACAAGCACAGTTGCAGCAGCAGTAGTAGTAGTTGTTGTAGTTGTTGTTCTTATCATAGAAGTTTCCCTACCTCATAATGTCAGGTTGTATTTTAATTGTTTGTAGGCTCCGTCCATTTTTGAATCAGGACCCACTAGCATGTGATCCTACTGTTGGACTGTTGCACCAAGAAATGCTCCACCGACCACATGAGATGAGAAGATATAGTCTATAGTATACTGTAGTGATGCAGTGGTTTGTTGGTTTCGATTGGTGCAGTGAAATTCATTGCTTGAGATTCATAGAACATCATAGAACATTTTTGCCCGGATGCTTCGGTAGAAAAGGACCAGGACAGGATGCCACCAGACCCGTCTAGCCGCCGGCGGGAGACGCGACCTTCGAGTCTTCGACGAAGGCGGAGCAGACGGGTCTGGTCTTGGAATGTCAGGACTTCCGCCCCCGCACGGCCGCTGTGATCCGGACCGGGTTTTGTTTCCTTTACGTTTTGGGACGATGGTGTCGATGGTGTGGATGTCGAACTAGGGAGACTTCCCAGGTGAGGGAAACAGACCAGTCGACCCGAAAATAGCGTGAACCTGCGAGCGCACACCCAGAAAACATTGGTTGCATGGGCCATGCCATCCACTTCATATCATTTCATCACATCCGGTACCATGTCTTGCAACACTTCTGTCAGTACGACGGCCATGGTGCGGGATCTATCTCCATGGATCCTGCCCAACAGGGATCACCCTGATCTGAGTCCTTTCATGTCCTGAATCACACCTCTTTGTCGCACCATCGACAGAGCAAAGAGCATCGATCAGGTGGATGCAAGCCTTTTTGGGTTATTTCTGGTTGGCTCTTTGAAATGCTGAAAAAAATCCGACAGATAGAACCTTAGGTTTGCCGTTTCGTCGTTCGAACCTGGCATGAAAGCATGACCTTGGTTGGACATCCATGAAAGCGATGATCCCGGGTCTCCATCCCGGCACCTCCCGGGTGTTTCACCTCCGTCGTGTGAAACCACGAGACACGTCGTTACGACGGTGGTGGACTAAGGAGACACCCACGCTGCTGCAGTCCCTGCAACGCACGGTGAATGTCACCCTGGTGGGAGGTCGGATGCAGACCGGGTGCGTGGAGAGCTGGTTGTTTGGTCGGGACTGGCTGGTTGGGTGGTTGCTTCGGTGACCGGTGGGTTGGGTGGGAAGTGGGCGACCTGGGCAACCTTGGCGACCTGGGGAGCTCGTGGTTCTGTGGGGATAGGCCAACTTGTAGTAATTCAGCTCGAACACCCATCCAAAGACCAGCTGGCTGGAATTTGAAGTGATCCCATGGGTTATGAGGGTGCAGAAAGAGGAGTGTGTATTGTGATAGGGGGACCCCTGGGCCAATGGGTGTTTGGTGGCTTTGGCCTATTTTGCTTCCTTGAACTGGGAGGTCTCCCTATTTCAATACACACCCAGATGATATTCACATAGCAGGGCCTCCGCACAGCTCCAATGACTGGTAACTGCTGAGAAGGTGTTAGGCCGGATAGGTTTCAGGGTCAAACTGGGCCATTTGTTGTTGGAGCATGTTTGAGACGAGGTCTCCAAAGACCTACGATGTGATGTCAAATGGTTGTGAGGTCCATTGAGGACAACCCCATGCAACCAATTTATAGAAAAAGCATGAAAAAGCCTATTAGCCCATCATCTCCACAAAATGTTGCTCCAAGACAGCCAAGGGGCTATGATCCCACAGCGTCGGCTATATATAGCTCTGAATAGTTCTTTGGACAGGAACAGAAGAGGGCGACAACATGCTCTACATGTACTTGCTGAATGTCCTCACACCTGCGGAGGAACCCATCTACGCGCCTTTGGCACCGAACGAAACGCCTCACAGATCTTCGCCGCGCCAGCAGCTCTTCGCCGCGTCGCGAAAGGCCAGCTAAAGCCAAGCGTTTTCCTCCATGTTTGGGGACTGAAAGAGGTTTTGTTTGCTTTAGAGGTTCTTCAGTCGTACCTTCTGAGACCACTGGAGCATCAAGAGCCCAGGGTGGCGAGATGTTGGATCCCCAAAATTCATACCCCAGACACGACCTGTCTGGGACTGGAATAGATGCCGCCCCATTGACCCCTTGTTTTAAGCACCCCAATGTATGCAACATATGGCAGTCCCAGACTGGTCGTGTTTGGATACTGCTCTTGAGCAGTGTGAACTTCTTGGTCTCAGGATGTCCGTGCCATGTCGAAGAGAGAGAGAGAGAGAGCGGAGAGAGGATCAACGCGCAGCACGAATGAAAGGAACACGGGTGGGTTCGATAGATCAAAGCTGGTTGGGAACTGGGGAAAGAGAAAAGAAACGCAAAACGACTTGAACTGCCAGTGCCAGGAGTTCCACATGGGTGCCAAACTTGGAGGGTAAGGATGCCCATTCACTAGATTGCAAATCATCCCAAAACACAATTCCATCCAATTCCTTTGGAACTGGTGCGACCTGGGTCGTCTTAACCTCCAACCTCGGCTGCGTTCCAGCTTCTTCCGTCCGATCCGTCCGTCCCGTTCTGCCAGTCCCTTCTCGACCACGCGGTGAAAACCGGTCCCAGGATCCCTGGCAACTTCGAATCTTAGACGCTGGCTTCTACGTCGTGGACGCTGCTCTCAACGTGCCCCAGCCAGGCGTGGCGGAGGTGGACGTGGCGGATCTGGCGGATCGGACGGGGATCGGACGCGGAAAGGGCCTTCTTTCGGTGAAGAAGAAAGACTGACTGAGAGGAGAAGACTGAGTAGAGGTGGAAATACAAAGTATGGTAGATCAGAGAGGTTGTGTGTAGCAAACAACTTGTCACAAGAATGCTTGCAATTTGCAAGTCGCATGATGTTTGTGTACCTCAACAATGACAAGTTATACTCTTTATAGGCTTTGTATGGCATTGTAAAGGTTTATTTATATATAGTAATTTGGAAGGTTCTGCATCGCCTTTAGGCAGACCGCGTTCCGTCATTTCTTTGGGCAGCAACCGCATTGCAATGTGCCGACCACGTAGGTATGAGTCCACGGTCATCTCCAAGTCCTTTGCATTGGGTGTAGAGGAGAAAGACCTCGAAGAACTGCGAACCCAGAAGACTCCCACAAGGCAAGCTGGTAGATCTGTATTTAAGAACGACTTGTTAAAGGATTCTTCAAGCCACGGGCATGAGCTCTGCATGAGGCTGGCGGGATCATCTATCAACTGCCTTCTATCCAATGGAAGTGGCCGTCGCCCAGACCTCCCCACCTCCGGCAAACTGAAGGACTTTCTTCCACGAAACCATGTTTGTGAGGATGGTCTCCTCTTTAAATTGTTGCAACTGCAACAGATGGAGAATTCAGCTAGCTTTGATGTTGTGAACTTTCTTGACAATTGAGTCCCAAGTCCCATTGAGATCAAGCATGTTAGTTCCTCTGGGGCCCCCAAGGATGATCAAAACTAAGCGTAGAAGCTCTGTAGTCAACAATTTCTTGAGAAGCTCTACTCCTCCCTTTTCTTGTTCACAGGGTCCTACCAAAACTGCGATCTTCTTCTTTTGAAATTAATTTTGAAGAACATGTTTTTCCAAGTCCGGAATAGACTTTCTTTCAAACAAAAGGTCTTGTGACTTTCCCAACATCACCTGCCAAAAAGCCATCCGTGCCCACAAAACAACGCCAAGCAAAAAATGCAAACATCAACACAACCCAGATAGATGCTTTGGGATGCTGGCTGGCTGCATGTCCTGACAGACGTGGCTGGCTGGTTCGCCCCAAGTGGGCTAGCCGGCGAAGCGACGGACCAGGCTTCGTGCCGGACTTGGAGATGGGAAACCCTTCGCTGAGCTGGTTGGATCCCCCACAGATGGGCGAGGCGAGGGGACAGGGGCCCTGGCGTCGCCCTGGCCGACGGCAGCGAGAGACCTCCCGTCGGTCGGTCAACCAAGACGGCGTCCCAGCGACCCGGGTGAAGCCGAGACGGGTCATGGGAAGCGGCGAAAGGACAGGTCGTCCGCAAGGTCCTCGTTGGTCCTGGTAGATCCTGGTACCATGGCCCACAGCGCCCACAGCCATGTGGATGATGTGGATTGTGAAGATGGAGTGGAGGGGCACGTGGGACATGAAGAGGACATCGGACACAAAAAACGTGGAAACCAATGGGAAGTACCTGGTAGCCTGGCACAACTACCTAGTAGTCCATCTGCCTGAGACATTTGCTAATAAGCTGGTGTTTCCAACTTCCAACAGTGTCTTTCAGGCCTTCTGACACTTCTTGAAGCAGAGGGTTTGTCTCGTTCTGCGTCTTCCCAACGGCAAAACTGAAATTTGGATGTTTGGTTTCAGTGCTTGCATTGCAACATGGAGTTCCTCATTTTTCACCTTCTTAGCATCAGGGATCCTGGACTCCAACTTGTTTGGAGAACGAACACAGACAACGGTATATAATTAGTGTGTTTACCAGGTCCACCAAAATCCACGTGCAATATAGTTTCCCAAGCTGGCGCCTGGCGCATTCACCCACCTGTTTTTCCCAAACCCGCCTTATCTGGAGCTTCCTAATTGGAGCGGCTCGACCTCCGCTTTGACCGCTCTCCGGTGGACTGGAGGTCTCCAACGTCCAAGTCGAGGTCTCCTTCTTGCGGCGAGTGACGCTCGTTACGTTCGGAGGGACGTTGTGGGGGACGGACATCCGTTTTCGGAAGCCCAACGTGTGGGCAGAATTTCCCAGAATGGAATGTCAACCTGTGCTTAGCAAGATGTTTGGTACCGCTCTAAATAATATATCAACCAGTCAGAGTTGGGTTAAAGGAGTCTTTCCCTAAGACACATATCTTGCGATACATCAGCCGGTTGCATGATGACCCTGCAAATGGCAGCTCCATTGATGCGAAAGTGGGTCGGGACTTGGAAGGATGACAATCATCAGGCCAATTCTAAATGAGGAGTTTGCCGTTTACAGGCAACAACCATGATTGTGGGTGAGCGCTTGAGTAGAGTATATTCCGTTCTTGTTGGAAGACTCACACAGGCACTTTTGACGCCAATTTGATCGATGATCTTGAAGTTCAGCCCATACTTTTCAAAGTGGAGGTCTGTGGGAAGTTCATTCAATTGCAGCCGTAGTCGATTTCTCGGATAACAATTTTCTCCTTTGACACAACAACCTTCATTGGCCATTGAGGAAAGGAGTGAAGGCAATCCTGGTCTCGCTGCCAGAGAACTACCGTCATGACATTCAGCACAAAAATCAGCTGCTTGGCGGCACCTTTAGCTGCTTGGGTTTGACCGACGTCCTTTTTGGGTTTGACTCATCGGGCAGAGTTTGAGGGGTTTAATGAGTTTTAGGGGGTTCATGTTAACTTCCTTCCACTGGGGTTCTTCCATGGGAAGTCGGACACCCAGATGAGAAATTTCTCCGATGTATGTGTTTGTTACATGACACATGCTCTAAAAAAGGCCCATGTTCCGGAATCAGAAGCACCATTGTTTTCCACTGCCTGCCACGAGACGTTGAGACGTTGAGCATGGTCGCGTATTTCGTACGGAGAAAGGCTGAATTCGGTTCGTGCAAACTGGCTTTGAACGGCAAATGGCTATGGGTCAAAATAGGGGTACCCCCCAACCATTGGTTTATAATGGGAATCCCTACTGAAATGGTGGTTATTGGGGGTACCCTATTTTGACCCATGCCCACATGATGGAAGCACTACAAATTGGTAGACCTTAAGGTCTGGACGTTTCTTTTTTTCGAATGTGAAGGGCTATGGAAGCACTGTAGACAAACCCCCGAAGTCCGAGATCCCTTCACCAAGAATCGAATGGAGAGGCTTTTTGATCATCCTTCTGATACCGAGGATTCGTGGCCCGCCATTGATTTCAGAGCATGAATCCCGAAGAACCATGGTTTGAGCAATGACCCTACAAGACAAATCCCTAGGTCAAACCATTTTTTGAACATCGTCTTTGAAGGATTTTGAAGGCTAAGGCGAACGGGATGTTTAATGGATAAAAACATCAAATATGCTCCTGATCACCATGCTTGAAGGAGTGAGTCCACTTATATTATGGCCCCCAACAAAACGGCCTGTGTCCAAGTGTTCCCGTTCTTTGAGGCATCATCCACCGGTGGCGCGGGAGGAGGGGGGGGCTGTTTGATGGGCCGCCCGCCCGCCCTTAGGCTTCGTAATGTGAACAAGCTCTTCCCATTGACGATCGATGAGGAATGGCGGGTCTTCGACAACTTGAGGCGCACCGGCACCGACGACACCGTCGATGGGTCGATGGCCGAAGCGCCATGGCCATGCGGGTTTTGGACGGGAGCAATGGAAGATTGGTGGTCCAGGTAGGTCTCTTTGGAGGCTTTTGGGCCAAAGGTGTGTTTATGGAGTGAGCCAGAGTGAAAGACAACAGTGGAACCAAATGAATGACCAGCTGCAACCATGGGGGCAGTTTGTTTCTCGGTCAAGGCAGCCCTATGCCAAGAGATGCCAAGCAGCTGGGTGTGGTGGCAATTTGGGGTGTAAGCTTTCCATCTCAGTCAGTAGAGAGAGACCCTCCAATGAGTTGGGTCTGTCCGTTCTTACCTGTAACAGTCAGTAAGCAAGTATCACTATTTTAGAGGTGTCGGCCTTTACTGACCAGCATGTTGCATCTCTAGCGAGGGAATTGTTTCAGTGGATCGCGGCTGGCTGGGAAGCTGTTTGAAGAGTTACATCTGTCAGAGCCACCTGGAGTTGACCCGTTCGTCCCTCAGAACATGGGTACAACAGTAATGTCATGTAATGTCAAGTCAACAAGCCCCGGTATCTCATGGTATCTCATGTTTTCTTGACCTTGTTGACCTACCACGTGGGGGGATATCAATCCGGTCTTGACATTACCTGTGTTTTTTGAATAGGGTCATCTATGGCCATGTCACGACAAGTTCCATGTTTAAGGGTACTTTGGGTCAAGGTAGGTTCAGAAGCCTTTTATGATGGCTTCCTCGTGCAAGGCAACCACCTAGTGAAGCGACTGTGGATTACCGTTTGGTTGAGCAAAGATGCACATTGCAATGCTGGCTCAGCCCCTGTTTGAAGTCCTGCACTAGCTTCCTTATGTTGCGCCGTCCTTTCTCCAAGCGCCGAAACCCATCCGGGCGTGTCAGCCGTGGTGTCAGGTACATCAAGGTCCTGGTGGAGGTCGTGGAAGTGAGCAATCAAGCGCAGATCATCACCTCCGGAACCTACCAGTCACTTCGGCGTTCGTTCGATGGAAACCCTTCTCGCCATGACGAGAGCGCGCCTCGAGGTCGTCGTCAATGACGGACGGGTGGAGAGGTGATGGACGGACCGTTGATGGGCTCAATCCCACGAGCACACAAGCCTGTATGTGAGGTGCCTGTATGTTCGTGGACAGGAAGGGTATGCGGTCCCTAGAAATCCAATCGTACCTTCTCAGGTTCGGTACGACTGGACCCTCAAAACCCACAGAGTGTCTCCAATCACCGTACCTGAGAAGGTACGACTGGATCCCTAGGGAATTGTCATAAAGATGCACCCCGGATGGGACAAGGTTTCATTTGTTTGTTCGATTTGCTGGAAGCTGCCTGGTTGCCAACCGCCCAGCATATGGCCTTGTCTCATCAAAGCCACGTCAGATGGTGATTGGGCTAGCGGCTAGCGGCTAGTGCATGTTATTGCAGATGCTTTGTGTGCATGGAGCCTTGAGAATTCTCACAAAGCTGTGGGGACGTTTTTTCTTCCATCAACTCTCTAATCAGTGAAGCTGTGAATGCTTTGTCTAAAGACCTCCCCCAATCTCGCCAGTTCCTGAACTTGAATCCCAAAGTCGACTCATCTCCAGTTCCAATCCTATAGTCCTTACAGTTCCATCTCCCAGTTCCCACCCCTAGTCCCAGTCCTTGAAGAAAGGCATTGTTTCAGTCCCAACAAACGATTCTGACGTCGTTCTGTTCACCGGTGCCGTTCTCGGCCCAGGTGGCAATTCCCTGTGATGGCTGGGGACCCCAGACTGGCCGAGGAGAACAGCTCCAGAGCGGGTTCCGCACCCGAAACGGCGGAAAGCAAAGAAAACACGGCTCAATGTAAAAGGCTTGTAACTGGGTGTGGAACAAAACATGGACCATCATGGACTCATTCACTATAGTCATGAGTCATGAGTCATCATGAATCTATCATGAATCACACCTTCAAACTTGGCATTGCATGACCACCAGAAGGCAGCTAATCCCGATGGGCTCAAAAATGTACAGCTGCGCTACATCAACGGAGCTCTTCTTTCCGTGAGTGCGTGCGTGCGTGCAACATCCACCTTCGTTTTCGACGACAGTTACACACTTTAGCTCCACATTCGTTTTCAATGACTGTTAGACACTTTCGCAACATCCGCTTTCGTTTTTGGAGATAGTTACACATTCTACAGTATACATCTTCCACCACTTAATTCTCAGTCGTTGACACTTGACACGCACTTTGTGCGAAAGGGTTGCCGCGGACACCTTGAAACCGCAATGTTCCCGCAGTTTTTGACACTTGACACGGATTTCGTGCGAAAGGCCTTCACGTTTCGTGGTGACTCGTGGCCACTGAAAAGAGAAGAGAAGACAGCAAATGAGAAGAAAGCGAATGAGAGAGAAGAGAAAAGGAGAGAGACAGATCGAGAGAGATATATATAATTATCAATCAATATGAATGGTTGGTTGGGTAGGGACATATTGAGATGTGAAACATATAGTGGGGATCCTCAATCTTGTATGCCATTTTGGCTCAAGATTGGGGGCTCCCTAATTTCCTTTTTCCATGGCCACCGTCTAGCGTTTGCCCTGGGGGTGGCAGGAAGGAATTGGGGGGTGCGGGGGGGCGCCCTGTCTGCGACAGGGGCCCTTTGCCGTCCCGTGGCGCATGGAGGCGCCTAAGCGGTCGCGGCCGGAGTCAGAGGGTTTGGAACCCAAACGACGGCCCCGCAATACTACACGGCCCCGAAGTCCATCAAGGCCTCCTACGCGGTCTAGCAACCCGTCCACGATCCACCTCCCAGCGTTGCGACCTGATCAGCCCATGCAAAGCCTGCTGCAGGACCTTCTGGTCGATAGGCCGACAGCCCTCGTCAACCACCTCGTGGACCTGGGTGTCCAGACGTGTGAAGATGTTCAGGGCCTTTGGCAGTCCGGGGAGGCATTGCTGGACGAGTTCGAACGCCACCACGGCACAGTGGCTGCGGAGGAGGGCTTTACTATCTCCTTCTGGACGTTGGCCTCCCAACGTGCTCAGGCCTCCCAGCGCCAGAAGTTGAAGGAGATTTGCATTCACCGCCAATCGGCTGTCTCCACATCCGCACCTTCTCGGCCGGAAGCTTCGCCTCCGCCAGTGGCTAGGCCTGTGCGCCGGCTTCTGGAGATCGGCGAGGTCCGGGAACCTCCCATCCTCGTGAACCTTGCGGCCAAGGACCCATACGTCAAGGAGCAAGCGGCGAAGGTGGCCAAGACGCAGACCCTCTTCGAGTTGCTCGCGCAGGACTTTCTCAACCTTGAGGAGTTAGGAGTGTCCCGGAGCCAGCTTCGTGATGCCACGCGTATGCAGCTCCTCAAGGAGTCAGTCATGCCAGCCGCGGACCGGCTCTCTGTGCACCGCTTGGGCGCTCTGGTGAGCACCTTGCGGCGGTGGCGAGACTTTGCCACTCGCCTTGGGTTCGACGTGCAGCAACCCTCTCCCTTACAGTTGAACACCTTCCTCAAGGAGGTCGCCAGGGGTGGCCCGACAGCAGCTTCGTCTATGTTTCATGCCCTCAACTGGTTTCGGTCTCAGTTTGGGATCCCGTTCCCCCTGGACCACTGGTTGGTGCGGAACTACAAGCTGCTTCCAGTTGGCCACACCTCGCAACAAAAGCTGGAATTACAACCCTGGGAGTTCGTGAACCTGATCCTCAAGTTGCGCCAAAGTTCGGGCACGAATACCATGGTGCTCGCATTCCTGCTGTGGGCCGCTGTGTCCTGTATCCGCTTCGAACACATACAAAGGTCCAAGTTCGATCGGTGCGAGGCCAACGCCCTCTTCTTCACATGCTCCCAAGGCAAGGCCCGGCGCCAGGGTGCACGGCCTGCCTTTCAATGGGCCATGCCGGAGATCCCCTGGCCTGGCTTCAGCTTGGTCAAGATCATCCAGGATTTTGTCACCATGGAGCTCCTGCCGGGTGGTACTTACCTTTGGCCGGCCCTACAGTTGGACCCCCTTGACCTGTGGCAGGTCACCGAGCACACGCCCTGGAAGCTGGACCGCAAGTTATCCCGTGGACGGTTCCTTGAGTTGCTGCGAGGGGCCCTCCTTGATCTGGGCACAGCCTCCGACCAGGCCCAGACGGCGGGATTCAACCGTCTGAGACGGTTCCTCCCCACTTTGGGCAATGTGTTCCTGTTGTCCCCGCAGGACCAGCAGGCGGTGGGCAATTGGGTGGAGATCCTAATTTTGGTGGGCCCATTCCCAATCAGAAATCTCGGGCCACATGGACCATGGGAATCCATTACAGCGGGCAACGCGCCCTTCACTCAGCTCAGGTGAAGAAGGCGCTTTTGAAGCGCTTCATGCGGCTTTACAACGCCAAGAAGGCGGAGTTGGCCTTGACTGATGATGGTCTCCACCCTCGTGACTGTTGGACATGGGCGGAGGTGGCAGCCCAAAATGAGCAGCTCGGTGACCTTGGGACTGAGCTCCCAGCACCACCACCTGTGGAGAGCTCCCCTGACCTTCCGGAGGATGCCTCCACGGCCCGTGGATCAGCCGATGTGCGGGAGCTGCCGGTGCACGTGGATACTGGGCCCGAACCTGAGCCAGAAGCCCCCGACCATGAATCAGCTTCGGACACATCCTCTACGTCTTCAGGCTCTGCCTCCGACGTGTCCAATGAGGCTACAGATCTGGAGGGGGCCCTGTCGAATGATGACGTGGCTGTGTCCACGCATTGGTTGGTGCAGGGCACCAAGGTGCACATCATCCGCGGCGAGACGGATGGGCGGTTGCTCCCTTGGTGCAGAGATGCCCCTTTCTCACAGGACCCTCGGTCTACTGGAGAGGGTTTCTCCACCGTGTCCCGCCAGCGTTTTTGCCAGCGATGCTTGGCTCGCATGCCCAGGGGGTTGTACCGGGCATTGTCGAGGCACTGCGGGTGGCTGAACTGACACCTCTCCGCTCGATGTATAAAAAGATACAAGCCCTGCACAGTGCGTTAGTTTTGTCGTTCGACCCCCCTAAATCTCTTGTTTGTTTGCCCGGCCGCGCTCGTGTTTCGTCGGTTACTCCGGGTGGTCACCTCGGTACCCTGGGACCGTGGCCGGTGCGGAGTCCGGAGTCGGGTTCCCTCTCGCATCCCGCTTGTTGTGGGAGTGGGGTTTGATTGGAGTCAACCTGCCAACCTACACGGAGGGGGGAGGCATTTCGGTCTGGGTTCCCTGTGTTTGTGATGTGTCTTCGACACCGCAACCATGGCCCAATGCATCAGCCTCGGTGTTTTCGGACACCATCGCACAGTGCTTCTGAGTGGCCCAGTGTGCCCTGTGTGCCTACAGGCACCTGGTAGACCCTCAGCAACCTGCCATGAGCCACGGACATAGGATCGATACCCTCCAGGATGACAGGGGCTTGGCCACATGTCTGAGCGCTGCCAACATGCTTCCGGAGTGGGCCGAGGCCGTGATCAAGGCCCAATAAGTGGGAAACTTTGGAGGACTTCATTTTCTCCGTGGACGAGAAGGATGTCACGAAGGCTATCCAAACTTTGCTGGACCCGACCACCTTGAAGGACAACCGGTTGGCTCAGGCTCGCCTGCGTGCGGCCTATTCAGCAGGGGCGGAGGCTATCAAGCAGGCCGCCCAAGCGGCAAAATCGGCCGAAGGGGTGGATGATCCATTGCCTGAATCCACCATGGATCAACTCAACCGGGACTTCCGGACCCGGTACGGCCTCATCATTGAAGCCACTCTTGAACCCAGTGATGCTCTGCGAGCCCGGGTTTATAGAGAATTCCGAAAGAGGACAATGTCAGTCGTGCCTGCTTCCCGCATCAAGTCAGTCCTTCATCAAGCAACGCCCAGGCAGCAAGATGCGGTGAAATTGGGAGGAGGTATCCAACTTGAATTTCATACAGAGGAGCCTCGCACCATCCGCAATGTTGTGGACTACTACTGGTCACTCCGTACTCTGGCCTATGCTTGGGCGTGGGCTGGGTTGCACCAGCAACGTGGTCATGATGGCAGGGAGACCGTCTTTATCTCCCTCACGGCGGCCCTGAACTATGCTGACCACGCCCTCCATAGTGCTATGGAATTTGGCCAGGGTTCCCGCCTGTGGCTGGAGCGTAATGACCTCCTGACCCGCACCAAGATGGCCAGCTACATTCGTCAGGGCTACAATGCATGGGAGGCCTTGCAGGAGGCTCTCCGGGAGACACACCTTGAATGGCGGGCCAGTGCTATCCAGGCTGTCCCCAACGAGCCAGCTGTTCCTCCCAAGCGGGCAGCACCGGGTGCTAGTGAGGTTGTGCCTCCTGCACCCAAGCGGCGCCAGATCAAGACGGACGCCCACCAAACGATCTCCATGCTGAAGGGAGGCATCAAACTTTGCAAGCCATGGAATGATGGCAGGGGCTGCACCAACCAGAAGTGCCCGCAGGTACACAAATGTGATGTCAAACTCCCGTCAGGTAAGCCATGTCAGGGGCCACACCCCCGGCTGGATCACCCCACTGAATAGGGACAACTCCCCCTGGCAGCCTGGGAGCTGCGGGGGGTTGAGCGTCCAGGGCACCAGTGTGACACCTCAGCTACGCCATTGCAAGCAAGACGACAGGTCACCTTGTGCGATCCCCAGGAGCTCAACCCTACAGCACTGGACATGGCGAGGCCGTGGAGACCTACCGCAATTTCCAGTGGTTGACCTTTGGGCGGGCATTGGAGGGCTTTGTCTCGCCTTGCTCGCTCTTGGAGTCCACATTTATGCAATCAGTG